AAAAAAAAAAAAAAAATCCCGATCCCCGATATTTTTTTCTCCCGATTCCGATCTTTTGAAAATCAAGTGATCGGCTCCGATCACGTGATCGGATCGGGACATCTCTAATTATTATCATTTATTTGTTAAAGTTATTTTAGACATAATGCAAAAGACATGAGGACATGCTTACAAAATGTTACTGTTGTTAAAATGTGTTTCAATAATTATTTTCTCTCCTGAACGTTATTATTTGTAGTATTATATTTATTACATAAACACTTCAGAAATCAATTATGCCTATACAGTCATTCTCATTTTTGCAAAACAATAACCAGTGTAAAATAAAACAATGTCGATAATAATAGTAATAATAATAAGTATAATAATAATTTTAAAAAAGTATAGAAATACAGTGAAATAAATCAAATTAAATGGTAATAAAGTACACTTCAAAAAAAAGTCTCCATTGTATGATTGGGGCTTTTACTGGGAAACGTTTTTTTCCGATTAAAAGCCGAAGACTTCACACGAAAAACTCTTTACTTTCCAGAATCCACAAGAGGAAGCACAACAGGGTGAAGACGTGGACTCGGCACGTGGATCTCTTCCAGAAGGATTTCATCTTCGTTCCCATCAACGAGTCGTGAGTCTTCAGTTTCACAAAACCACAGGATTATTGAAGTACCTCTACTGCTTAAGTATCTGAAGAACTTCAACAATGTTCTTGCTCTCTCCAGAGCTCACTGGTACCTGGCGGTCATTTGCTTCCCGGGTCTGAACGGTCCTCTGTTCGATCAGAACCCTCAGAACACCGCCCCATCCAGCGCCCTCCAATCAGAGGAGAGCGTCCCGGACTCTGTGTCTCCTGATAGGCCGGAACCCCCCTCAGAACCTCTGTCTGTCCCCCAGGCCTCCAGAGAGGGAGCGACTGAAGGAGACCCTGCAACCCCCCCCACAGAACCACAATACACAAGTGAGTCCCGTCTGAACTGAGGACTTTTAAAGAGGCCCTCGTTTTTTTTAAAGTATTTTGGGTCTTTACACAGAATATGATTTTTTTCCCCTCAGAATTAAAAATGTTTTCAGAATTTTTACTTGACTTTCTCAGAACTAAATTTCAATTCTGAGAAAAAGTATAAAATTCTGAAGAAAAACAATTAAACTCTGAGAAAAAAGTCAGTTATAAGAGAAAAGTAAACAAACTTCTGTGAAAAGCTCAATTTTGAAAATTCTGATTGAAAAAAGTTAAAATTCCGAAAATAAATAAATGCATATTTAAGAAACTAGGACATTTTTGGAAAAAGTCCAAAAAATACAATATTTAAGAAAAATTTTAGTTTTTGGAAAAAGCCAAAATTCTGAAAAATCTGAGAAAAATGTAAATTCTAAGAAAAAAGAAAATTCTAAGAAAAATGTCATTTTTTTTGAAGAAATTCAAAATCCTTAGAAAAGTCAATATTTAAGAAAAAAGTAAATTCTTGAAAAAAATCTGAATACTCTGTCAAAAAAGTACATATTTTGAAGAAATTCTAAATTCGGGAAGAAAAAAAAAGTCAAAATTCGGAGGAAAAACATTTGACTGAGAAAAAAGTCAATTCTGCCAAAAGTTGAATTTTGATCAGAAATTCAGAACCACAACACAAAGAGGCGCTTAAAGAGGCGCTATTCTGCTTTCTGTGGTTTTACCTCTCCTGTAGTTTGTTCTTTCTGTGCATGGTCTACAGAGGCCAAAATCCATTGGACTCCTTTGTTTATTTCCGGAACAAAGTGACATCACTTTCCTTTCCACGATCCTATTGGCTAGCACTCCAACACATTGATAAATTCGGATGGGAAAGATTCTTAGAAAAAGTCAATTCTGAGGAAAAATGTTAATTCTGTGAAAAAGTCAGAATTCTTTCAACATTTTGAGAAAAATCCAAAATGTTGAGAAAAACTCAAGATTTAAAAAAGTAAAGTAAATGATGTGCAAAAAGTGAATTCTGTAAAGACAATTAATTCAGTGAAAAAACAAGAAAATTCTGAGAAGAAAATTCAATTGTGTGAAAAAAGTGAAGACTCTGAGGGAAAAGATATCAGTCTGAGCTTTTTACTGTATAACGTTTGAACACCTTGATGTTTTGTTTTCAGGTGAGTTGCACAGAATCAGCGTCAGCTACGCTTCAGCTAAAGTAGACTACGACCCCTTCAGCTTCTCTGACGACCAAAGCTCCTGTCAGGTACTTCCTCTCCTTCACTCCTTCTCTCCTTCTCTCCTTCTCTCCTTCACTCCTTCACTCCTTCTCTCCTGCACTCCTTCACTCCTTCTCTCCTTCACTCCTTCTCTCCTTCACTCCTTCTCTCCTTCTCTCCTGCTCTCCTTCACTCCTTCTCTCCTTCACTCCTTCTCTCCTTCTCTCCTTCTCTCCTGCACTCCTTCTCTCCTTCACTCCTTCTCTCCTTCTCTCCTTCTCTCCTGCACTCCTTCACTCCTTCTCTCCTGCACTCCTTCACTCCTTCTCTCCTTCTCTCCTGCCCTCCTCCTCTCCTTCACTCCTTCACTCCTTCTCTCCTTCTCTCCTTCTCTCCTGCACTCCTTCTCTCCTGCACTCCTTCTCTCCTTCTCTCCTTCACTCCTTCACTCCTTCACTCCTTCACTCCTTCTCTCCTTCACTCCTTCACTCCTTCTCTCCTTCACTCCTTCTCTCCTGCACTCCTTCTCTCCTTCTCTCCTTATACTCTCTCCTTCACTCCTTCACTCCTTATACTCTCTCCTTCACTCCTTATACTCTCATGTCATCTCCTTCACCTGAGCAGTCATACCTGCTAGTTTCATATTGTCGTAAAAAGTCAAAATTCTGAGAAAAATGGTGTGTGT